ACTCCATTTTTGAAACTAAACTCTTTTTTTTTACCTTTCCCTTGTGCTGCACATTACTACATTTGGGCAACAGTGCTTCGTAGAGATTTCCAGAACATTTGTAATCATCTCTCCTTCTCCCCCCCCTTCCCTTCCTCTCTGTTGTCATAGTTCCCTGCTTTTCTTATCTCTTTTTAAAGCCTCAGCTTTCAGATGATAATGCAGAGCTCCAGCAGCAGCTGCTGCATAATAGCTGCGTGAGACTCAGCACCTCTTACAGCTGACCCCAACGTCAGAATAAGGGAGGAAATTTGTGCTTTGCATGTAGTTTTTGATCTAGGAGATCTTTTTTTCCAGCCTGTCCTCACGGAAAGGTGGATTGTGGATGACCTTGATGGGGTGGAGGGGTGGAAATCTGTGAGGTGTGGAGGTTCTTGGTGATTTTCACAAAGTTTACCCGTTTCCAACCACAAGTTTCTTGTGGACTTGAGCAACCTGGTCTAGTGGAGAGATGCAGGGTAGGGTCCCTTCCAACCTAAGCCATTCTGATGAGTCTTTTTTTCCCTTTTTCTTCCCTGCCACTTGCTTCTGCATGCTGTTGTGGCCCGTGCAGCAGGAGCAGGTGGAGTGGCACGTTGTCCACGGTCGTGCTGTGCTTGGCCAAGCTGCTCTGCTCATTTCCTTCCCTCTCCTGGGGGTGAGCACGCCAACCTTCTCCTCATCTTCTGTCCCAGGGACCCACGGCCACCTGGCTGAGCAGGGAAGTGTCCTGCCAGCTGAGAACACACAGGGTCACAGCTTGTTTTGGGGCCCTGATTTGAGTGGGTTTTTTTCTCCTGTCTCCAGTTGTAGACCTTGCCTTATCAGGAGAAGTACTTGAAATTTTAAAAATATTTCCTCTGGAGCTGGCTTTTGACTTAATTAGGCTTGAAGAAGGGAATATAGACTGAGAGTTGGGGCTGTTCAGTCTGGAGAAGAGAAGGCTCCAAGGTGACCTTATTGTGGCCTTCCAGTATCTTAGGGGGGCTACAAGAAAGCTGGGGAGGGAATTTTTAGGCTATCGAGTAACAACAGAACTAGAGGGAATGGGGCAAAGCTGGCAGTGGGCAGATTCAGGCTGGATGTGAGGAAGAAGTTCTTCCCCAGGAGAGTGGTGAGACCCTGGAATGGGTTGTCCAGGGAGGTGGTTGAGGCCCCATCCCTGGGGGTCTTTAAGGCCAGGCTGGAGGAGGCTCTGGGCAGCCTGATCTAGTGGGAGGTGTCCCTGCTCATGGCAGAGGGGTTGGAACTGGGGGATCCTTGTGGTCCCTTCCAGCCCTGACAGATTCTGATTCTGTTTTAGCAGAGGACTTTAGAGCCCTAATGGCTCAATGGTTGGACTTGATGATCTTGGAGGTCCCTTCCAACCTAAAGGATTCTATGATTCCATTCTAAAGAATACCTGAGACCTTTAAATGGACTGTTGTGAAGAAGAGAATGCAGCTGCAGGCTGTGTGCCTTAGTCTGCTCTCCCCAGGTATATTCCCAACATGATTTTCTGATTCCTTTTCCTGTCACTGACTCCTCAGTTCATGTCTTTCCAATTCCAGTCAGTACTGGTTGTTGCAGGGATACAAGGGCCAAGCATTGTTGTTGTAGCTATTTTTCCTATTTGCTCTTAGGCAATACATACCATTGGACCAAAAGTCTTCATCCACTGAGGGCTAGTGACTTAAAATTACCTGACTGTATTACCATGGCCTTGTTTCTGGTATAAGGCTCCTGGGCTGTCCCTGTGCTTCATATTTATGCTCATTAAGGCATATCTGTCTATGGTCAATTCTGTGGAATTTAAAAAACAAAGATTTGCTATTTAAATTATCCTTTCCAAGGGTTCAGCTTGGCTGGATCCTTGTCTGAGGTGATTTATGATGGTTTTATACTTGCATCCTCATGTTTTACCTGGCTGTCTTGGTGGAAGATGAGGATTGGATGAAGAGGAGGGTTAAACTTCATCACAGGTGGAGTCTGCAGAGTTAAAAATGTTGTTTGCTAGGAAAGCAAGGGTGTATTGGAAATATTTTTCCATGAAGCCTTGTTCAGTGTCTATATACACCTGCCACATAATGTTTAAAGACAAATATTGGTATTTTCAAGCTAATATCTTTCTGAGTGTTTGGTTCTTTCAGATTTTAAGAACTGGAAGCATGTGCAAGTTTGAATTCGTGCCGTGCTTCTGACATGATTTGAAGTGGGTTATGATAGTATTATATAATTTAGCATGCAGATCCTGTTACTTGACAACAATTATCAATATAAAAATAACTTTGCTTGAAACTTGGATCTCAAAGTTCAGTTTTGGTGCAGTCAGTGTTGGGGGTGTTGTAGGAGGGGAGTATCTGTCATCCAGTGGCACTGAGTAGGGGAGTTACTGAATGAATTGCTCACATCAAGATAGTGTTTTAAAGAATCAGTTCACAGCTGATCTGTCTGGAAATATCAGATTTTTCTCTCTCTGGGTTAGTTGGTTCATGGTTGGTGTCCTGTCACCCTCCCCCTTTATTAAGTGCTGCTAATGAGCATCCTGGCCCTGAGCGTGCTCAGGGTGCCTTCCTGTCAGAACCTCGTATCCTCCCATTGTGGTGCTTCCTGTCAGGCAGCAGTCTGGATTCCTCTCCTGGAGACAGGCTTTTTTTGTGGCTCTGGACGTGTTGGGATGATCCAATGAAATTGTTCCTGGTGTCCCCTGTAGCGTGGGCACAGGAGGAGGAGAGGCTGCCTGGCATCCTGCTCTCCTCCACTCAGCCTGGCTTGGGGAGCTCCTGGCTCTAGCACAATCCAGAATGAAGGTGAGCTTAAAGTGGATTTAGGAGTCTTTTTTTTTTTTGTAAGCTTATAACTTTATTTCTTATTCCTTTTTAAATTAGTTCTCTCTCTCCCTTGCAGTACCTTTCTAGTGCCTGCACAAATGTCTGTCTCTCCTTTTTGTTAGGATCAGGACCATTGTTCCATGGTTCTGTTCATACATTTACTCTCCTTGTTTAAAAACTACCACAATAAGAATGAAGCTAACTATAAAAAAATATACTCTTAATGTTTTCTTGATCTGTAACAGCTTAATGTTTTTTTTTCCACCAATTTGAGAGCAGTGAGGCTGGTCTGCAGCCTGGTTTAGGGTTTAAGCCAGGTTTTCTGTGTTTTGTCACCTTATTGGTGCCTTTTCTCATCTCTATTTATTATGAATCATGCTGTTAATAAAACTTCACATTTTTATTCCTTTTATTTGTAAAAGCAGATTATTTCATATTTGCCTGGTGGCTTTTTTGTGTGCATAATCTTCAAGTCCTTCCTCGAGTTTCAGGAAAAACGCTGCAAAATGTCTTTTCTCATCTCTATTTATTATGAATCATGCTGTTAATAAAACTTCACATTTTTATTCCTTTTTTTGTAAAAGCAGATTATTTCTTGTTTGCCTCATGTCTTTTTTTGTGTGCATAATCTTTAAGTCCTTCCTCGAATTTCAGGAAAAACCCTGCAAAATTCACATCCAGGCAATTCCTTGGTCCCTCTCCTCCCTCCTTACAGCCTCAAACAAATGAGAGCACTCTTTAAATTAGCTGTAGCCTGGTGAAACTTAATGCTTGCTTTTTTTTCTGTGAGTGATAACTGGTTGGAGTATGTCAGTGTTTGCCTCTGTGTCTGTTTTGGGGCATTGCTCCTCTGAGCTGAACTTGAGAGATGTCAGCAACAGTGCAACTGAGGTGGAGCTGCTGCTCTCTGGGACCAGAGATGATCCCCAGTCTGCAGGGAAAAATGAGCATGTTATCTTATGCACCTCAAACACTGAGTGTTTTGGGAGATTTTTTCCCCTTACTGAATAATATTGACATTAAATGTTTCTTAAGTCTGCTCTGCTTCTGTCAATATGTCCCATAACCAGTCACAACTAGCCTGGCAGCTCCTTCTGTGGTTCCTTGAGGGAGCCTTCAGGAAAATGGTCACTTCTCTTGGGTTCAGCTGGCCTGCCTTTGTCCTGTTCTCCCCTGGGACTCTGGGTTTCTCCTCCCATGCCTCTGGAGCCTGCTTTCTGGGGTACAGGCTTTCTGGTAGTGCCTGTGGGATGGGTCCCTGCTCAGGAAAAGAGGTGGTTGTTGACTTTTTAGATAAAAACTGCTACTCTGTGGGAAACTCCATCTCTTTCTGTTTCTTAAATCAGTTGGAATAACTGTAATGGCTCTTTTATTGTCCTCTTTCTAGTCTGGCACAGGGGAATACTGTGACTCCTTTCAACCTATGCAGAATCTATTGCAAGAGCTATTTTCATGAGGCTGAATGAATGTTTCCATTACCTCAGGCAAATATTATGGGTCTTATTTTTTTTTTTACTATTTTCTTTTCCCCTTGAAAATCCAGATGTTTAATGTCATCACCCAGTGCTTGAAATTTACTGAGCTGTTTTTGACAAGATAGTTCAAGGTTTGGATCTCTTTCCCACAGTTAAAAATGAACTATCCCTCCCCTTCCCAAACCCATTTCATGTAGCCAGCAACTTCACTCTTTGTAAAAGTCATTAATTTTTGGGACATCTGCTTTCTTCTGTCTTGTGGAAGAGAGAGAGCATGTGTGTTGTTGTAGTACTTCTTAAATTCCTCTAAATACTTTAAGAAGTACTATTTGGTTAATCAGGTACAGTGCCTGTGAACTGCTATAGAAAAAGAGCATGCCAGAAGTAATGCTACCCACTAACTTTTTTTTGCCCAAATGTCTGAGAGCTGCTTTTTTTTTCAAATAAAACAATTATTTAACTTTACTGGAGTTTCAATGACACTTTTAGCTTATTTTTTTTCAAAAATGCATCTGTTTCTGTATTTGATAATGGGTTAATTTTTTGTTTGCTTGATTTTTAAAGGGAAAACAGCCTCACAGTTTTACTGGTTCCTAACAGCCACTGAAAGACTGATACCTTAATCAAGCAATAGCTTCTACAGCCATGGTTTGCATAGAAGTGCTTAGAGTAAGGGCTTGTTTCTCTGACTTCCTGCATGTTCTTTTCTTTTCAGACTTTTGATGCAAATGACCTGTATCAGGGACAGAATTTCAACAAAGTTCTCAGCTCTCTTGTGGCTTTAAATAAAGTAACTGCAGGTAAGTAGATTCTCCTCTGTTGACAGTTACCTTCAGCTCTCACCAATGTGTATTTATACCAGTTGCTATACAAATGATAAAATGAACAGATGTATATTTTTAGAAGAGCTTTTATGGTAGTTCATCTTTTTAAGACTTTGGCTCTTGGTGTTCTTCAGTCTCCTTCTCTGCAGAAGGAAGTTTTGCAGTGGAGCTAAGGCTGAACCTTTTAGCTAGCAAGGATCCTTAGGAAAAATGCCTGTCTGGGTGGTTGGTGGTTGTTGTTGTTTAATTTTTTTCCCTTAGTTTGAAATCTAAAGCTGACTTTTGCTCCCCTCTGTCATTTCTATGTTTGGATACTTTTGTCAAGGTCTTTGTCATTCCCTCCCCACTCTCCTTTCTGGACACTAACAGGATTGCCATCATCTTTGGTCCTTAAGCCACACACATTTCATTTAGGTAGCAGCTACAAGTCACAAAGCACTTACCTCTAGTTCTTTGGTGGGAGGGAGAGAGCTGTAGAGGCACCATACAGCTGAGAGGTGTCTGTGCTTCATTGCAGGGTGAGGTTGTGCTACATGATGCTAACTGGACCCAGGGACAGTCAAGAAATGTTGACATCATTGGTCCTTTTTGGCTTCTTGCTGCTCCATGTTGGGTCTTTACACTGTCAACAGCAAGTTCTAGTAGTGGCCATTAGGTTAGAGTCTGGTGAGAGATTATTTTAAAATGATACTAGTCAATTTTTATGTGAGGACAAAAAGGAAACTGAGGGAAAAGTCAGTGGTGGATCAGCTTTATTTTATTTAATAGTAGTATGATAAGTATCTTGTCACTTTTATAATAGTCTGTTACAACAGGGTTTTTTTTTTTGATGACTTTTCTTTTCCTTACATCAGAAAATACCCCTTTAGAAGTGAGTTTTACCACCAAATTCTTAGTTCTAATGAATGAGCATGGAGTAGGACTGCTGACTTCTCAGAAGCTGCTTTATACCAGTGGAAGATTCTACCTTTCATCTTCACTGCACGTGCAGATGCAGACCATTGCAGTACACATGGAAAGCTGCTGTACACTGGCCATAGCTGTCTGTAAAGAGGAGGAAAAATGTGGCTGTTTGGTCCAGACACCACTAGATTACTACCCCCATCAAAAAGCCACAATTACAGCTGGCTTAGAAAGGACCCAGGCCAGTCCCTTTCATTGGGTGGTATGGAAACCAGAAATCAAAACCACATGCACACTGTGGTGTTGCCTCATTCCTAGGAGCAAGCAGAGCTGCATAAATCTTCCTGACCAACTGTTCTTCCAAACAATTTTCTTTAACTGTCTGTGTAGAAGGCATTTTACACTCTACCTTCTTACTCTGCTCTTGGAGGATGGCTTTCAAATCCCCATCTGGGACTGCCAGCATTTCAGGTGTACACAGGTTCTTTGGAGATGGGCCATTCTGCAGTGGAAGGAGTGGGAGTCATGAGCATGAAGACTGATGAAAGGCTACCATGGATTTACATGCCTTCAAATTCTTAACTTCAGGAGGAGTGGGATCAAGGGACCAGTTGCTATTTGTAGACAGACAGGGGAGAGGAAATGATTAAAGGGAAGTTGAGGTAGTGGTAGAGAAAAGAAAGTGTGGTAGAAACCCTGGAAATTTTCAAGTGGATGAAAGAGTAAAGCTTCTGAGAAAACTACCAAATTAATATTAAACATGCCCATTCTGTTGGCATTCAAGATACTTCAGGTTTTCATTGTCAGAAAAAGTTCAACTCTGCTGATAATCCCATTTAGAAGTTTATTGAACATGTTTATTTGGTGTTTTAATAAAAACTTTAATGGCTACACAGGATCTGCAAGCCTTTTAAATCTACCAAAAGTTCAAACTGATATCAAGTGTTGGGGTATTATTGATAAAAATACTGGTGATCTGCATGTGCTTAGTTGTTAATAAATGACCTTCTTTTCAGCTCAAACACATGCAGTTCCTAATTCAAGCCTCAAAAAGTGCTCTTGTGTTGCTGTATTAGCTCTGCTGTTGTGAAAGAGAAAATTTTGGGAATTGGGCCACACTTCAACTGTAGGCAATGTGGTTTAGGGTTTTCCAGAGGCTGGAACACACTGCCATGAGACAACCTGATCCTGTTTTCCTAGATGGACTGCATCCAGCTGCAATGCTGGATTTGGTGGCATGTCTGTTCTGCTTTCCCCCAGTTAGGAAACACAGCAGGCAAACTGGACATGGAGATGTTTCAGGTTGCTTTTAAACCTTAAATTATCATAGTTACTCATGATTATGGCAACTTTAAAGTTAGAATTAGCCATGAAATTATGATCTCTGAACAAAGCCTTTGACCTAGTCCCATTTCTCTTCTGGCAGTCTGAAAACAAAGAGGTGTGTCCTTGCTGTGATCACAAGTGTTTCTAGTAACACAGTGGCTTTTAAATGCTTTTAGGAAAGCAGGTTCACAGTGTGTGAGGTCTTCTATGGCTTAAATGTGTACAAAGTATGCTGCTGTTGGATGCTGTGCTGAAGGTGAAGGGCTTTCCAGTTGAGTTGTCCCTTCAGGTCTGACCTGGAACAGTGGCTGTGCCTTGTTCACCACTCTCCTCATGGAACTGAGCCTGTGTCTGTCATTTCCCTTGGACCAAAAATAACTTGGATTTGCATCATCATGGTCTGCTTTAGTCTGAAAGTACCTGACTGGAGACTAGTTGTGTGCTTATGCCTCTGGAATGGAGGTCAAGTGTTGTAAGCAGAGCAGACTCCTAGCAAAGAGGGTAACAGAAGCATAGAAAGCGTTTGGGACAGAGAATACTGAGTTACTCCCAGGGCTTCTTGAAGCTCAGATGCTCACTGAATCATTCCTTTGTGCATGGACAGAGGTGAGGAGGAGGAGGAATGCCTTGCCATGCCTGTGCAGAGGAGCAGCTCTTGTCTGCTGTGAGGCATCACCAGGGCAGGGGCCCTTTGTCCACTCACCTCGGTGGACGTGTGATGGTCCCTTTGCTGTGATCCTGAAGTGCAGAAGAAAACCAAAGAGGGGAGTTTACTTCAGTCAAGCAGTGGAACTGAATTGTTTGCCTTAAAGTGGTGTGCAATAGGTAAAAGAGTTGACAGGAAAGGTGAAGTAAAGAGGGGAAAGAGGAATA